GTGCTGCAGAAAAAGTGGACGACGTTCCTGAAGGCGCAGCTGGTCTGTTCGCAACCCGGCCACTTCCCCTTCAACGTCATCCATCACGCTTTCGCCCTGCCCCGCCAGGGTGGTGGTGCCGACTTCTACGCCGTCTTCACCTCGCAGTGGTGAGTCCCAGCACCCAGGGGTGCTGCGGGTGCGCCGGGGACCCACATCGTCCCCACACCCACCTTGCTGTCCCTGCAGGCAGGTGGGCAGGGCAGGCAGCGCGGCCGTCTGTGCCTACAGCCAGGAGGCTCTGGAAAAGGTCTTCGAGGGCAAGTACAAGGAGCTGAACAAGGAGAGCTCCCGCTGGACGGTCTATGGTGGCCCGGACATGAGTCCCCGACCTGGCAGCGTGAGTGCTGCCCACCCCTGGGGGACAAGACCCTCCTGGGGTGTCTGTTCCAGTTTGCCCGGTGTGCTCGCACTGGGGTGAGATGGTGGTGGTGTGGCGAGCGTGCCTCAGTTTCCCCATGGCTCCTCTCTCCCTGCAGTGCTCCATGGGTCCCTCCTCTGACAAGGCCCTCACCTTCATGAAGGACCATTTCCTCATGGACGGGAAGGTGTCACCCACCCAGGGGCGGCCGCTGCTGGTGAAGACGGACGTCACGTACACGCGCATTGCGGTGGACGAGACTCAGGGCGTCTCGGGGGCCACCTACCGCGTCATGTTCCTGGCCACGGGTGGGTTTACGTGGGGACACACACAGGGCACCTGGTTACCCCTCGGTCCCCCCAAAACACCAGTGATGTCCCCTGTGCCCCCGCAGCGGAGGGTTTCCTGCACAAAGCGGTGGAGCTGCCTGGGGGTCCCCACATTGTGGAGAGCATCCAGCTCCTCGGGACGCCGGAGCCGGTGAAGAACTTACTGCTGGCCCAGGGGAAGGTAGGGGGTGACCCAAGAGCCCACCCCAAGCCTGGCATGGAGGGGTGGGGGAGAGGCTCAGCCCTGCACCTCTCCCTCCCCAGGGCATCCTCTACGTGGGCTACTCCGGTGGCATCCTCCAGGTCCCGTTGGCCAACTGCAGCCTGCACCGGAGCTGCGCCGAGTGCGTGCTGGCGCGGGACCCCTACTGCGCTTGGCACAGCCTTGAGGGCTCCTGCCAGCCCCTCCGGGCTGCCCCCACCCAGGACACGTGAGCCCCAGGGGCAGCGGGATGAGGACAGGAAGGGGGATATCCAGAGGGGATGGGGTGCTGATGCCGCTCTCCCGGCCGCAGGAGCACGTGGCTGCAGGACATCGAGACGGGGAGCCCGGCCACCGTGTGCCACCGTGGGAGGAGCGCGGCCATGCCCCGAGCCGGGGGGGCACAGGAGGATCCTGCCATAGAGAGTTGAGTATGGGGTGCAGCGGGGTGGGGACACGGGGCACGTGGAGTGCACTGCATCACCCTGCTCTCCCCCTCCGCACCCCACAGGGCTCAGCCCCCCACTTAACGCCATGGTCCGCCTGCTGTGCCCCCGCCGCTCTGCCCTGGCCACCTACAGCTGGCAGAAGCCCGGGGGCCGGGGGGGCCGGGGGGACACGACGCTGCTGCCTGACCACACTCTGGTGGTCATCATGCAACGGGGGACTGCTGGCACCTACAAGTGCCAGGCCACCGAGAACGGCTACACCTGGACCGTGGCTCATTACCAGCTACAGGACCCCAGTGGGGCAGCCCCCCAGCCAGACGGGCTGGCTGAGGAGGGGTTGGCCTGGGGGTCCTCAGACCCTGGCCCCCCCCGGTCTTACTGGCCCCAGTTTGTCACCGTCACCGTGCTGCTGGCCGTGACGCTGGCCGCTGCTGCCTGCCTGGCCCTTCTCGCCTACCACGACCAGCTCAAAGCCAGGAGCAAGGTGCGGGGGTGCAGCACACCCCACAGCCCCCCGTCCCAGCGCAGGGAGAAGGTACCCCTCAATGGGGGAACCGCAGAGCCCTCAGCACCCGGAGTCCCCACTGAGGAGGAGGAGGAGGAGGACGAAGGCTCCCGCGCTTGCTGCCTCCAGCTTGACGGGGATATAGATGCTGATAACAACAGGCTCCGCATCCCGGCGGGGGACACGGTGTGACAGCACCACCGGGTCGAGGAGACCGTGGGGAAGGAGTGGGCTGTGGGGGTGATATGAATGTGAAGTTTTGTTTTGTTTTGTTTTTTTTAATTTAATATGCGTGTTTTAACATAAGGTAACATTTTGGGGTAGCGGCGAGGGGCAGCGGGGTGGGATGGGCCCCTGGGAGCAGTGGGGGAGGCAGCAAGGGGGTGGGATGTGACAAGGAAGTGGGATGTGGGGAAAGAGGGGGCGAGGGAAGGACATGGGGACAGGGAAAGGACGTGGGCACAGAGGAGGGACATGGCCATGGGGCAAAGATATGGGGCCGAGGGCAGGATGTAGCCATGGGGCAAGGCTGTAGGGTGGGGACGGGTGGAGTTGGTGGATGCTGACACGGGTGCCACCCCAGGAAATACCCCTGGGATCCATAAAAGCTCCAAAATGGGGAAAGCCAGTCCCACGGGCATCCACCAGACCTCCCCACCCTGCTCCCCACTGCCCTGCGTGCTGGACGGGGGGGACACCGGTCACCCTGACCCGCAGACAGCCATGGTGGTGGCCCCCCCAACCCCTTCTCACCAGCTGGCCCCTGCTGCTTTTTTGATGATGTTGAGCCTTCTTTTTTTAAGACAAACCAGCTGTAAATTTTCCTGTTCTTTGTACATTTGATTTTTTTATTAAAAAGGAAAAGCTACGGCGTTGTGCTGCTGGGTCCAAGGAGCAGCCCCAGGAGGGCAGCGCCAGGCTGGGGGGCATGGGGGGGATGTAGGAGAGACCCACCCACCCAGCAGAAGGTGGAAATGTCCCTCTTGCCCCCACACATCACTCCCGTCCTTTCACAGAACCCCAGACTCATCCTGGTTGGAAAAGCCCCTGAAGCTCCTCCAGCCCAACCATGACCCTCCCCCTGACC